CCTCACCCTCCCCCCGCGCTGGGGCTGGTGGGGCCGCGCGCCGGCTAGGAGGGGCAAGGCGGAGGGGCAAAGCGCAGCGGCGCGGCGGAGCGAGGGGACGTGAGCGAGGAACTGTTTGCACTGTCGGCTATGGCCGAGGTACCACACTATTCCAGGACTAACGTGGGCGCGGAACCGGGTAGGAAGCTCCTTGACCACTGAAGCGCTTCCTACCGCCCTTTGTCCTAGCTGCCTTCCTCCGAACACTGCAGCACGCCTGGCCACTAGCCCCAGCGCTGCGCTCCGCAGCCGCCAGGTTAAAAAAAAAAAAAAGCGCACGTCGTCAGTGCGCAAGCGCGTGCCAGGGCCCGCGCCGGGCCAGCCCGGGAAGGAGAAGCCGGGAGAGAGGGGAAGTGAATAGTGATGGCCCACCAGCGCCGGGCCCGCTGGGAACTGTAGTTTTCGTTAAGCACGCGTCTTGTTTTGGGTGTCATGGCTTGGCAAATCCGCCAAAACAGGCAAATGGCATTACACAATGAGCATTTATGCTTCCTGTCGCCACCAAAAGGAAGTTCACTGCTATGCTAAAAGTTTAACAAAGAACTCCGTAGAGAAACCCAAATCTCATAACAAAAAACAAACTTCCCACCTTCATACCGGAGTTGGTTTAAAGTAGTGGCACTTTATCATTTCTCATGACCAGTTTGTCAGTACAGTATTTTATTCATTTTCCAAAATAAGGTCTTAAAATAGTGGAACCTTTTATAGATTTTAAAAAATCAGTAATATAATGCAGTGTGACATTTACACAAATATACAAATTATATTCCATCATCCTTTTAAAAAGTTGCCAAAAGATAAGTTAAGTTTTTTTATAAAAAAAGAATCCTAGGATTCAAAATATTACTTTAAATGACTGAATAAAAGAAATGTTTCCAACAATTCAATCATCATATTCAGCAGATGAGAAGAGTATGCTCTACTACCAAAAATGAAGTTGAGAAGTGCTCAATACTCTTGTGGCTTACCAGAACCAATATCCGGTGGTATGCCTCACTTCTAGTAAAAAACAGAACAAACAAAAAAAACACACAGCTTTAGTCCTCCCACAAAGTTACACTAACTCACCAGCTCTTACAGCATTTGCACCTATATTTCCATGAGTTTCCGTGTGTATACTTTTAAAATCACTCTCTCAATTATAGTGGTTTTCAAATATCAAAAGCAACCAGCTAAGAAAGTCCCAGAGTCAAATTACACAAAGAATAAACTAATATATGTATACATATCTGTATACACATCCAAAAGAGATCCTGCTTTTGGCTTTTTAATGTATAATCCTGGGGAAGAATATTTTGTTGATTAAAAAAGGCACACACACATATTTCCACATAATAGTAATTCCACAAAGTATAGCATAAGGGTGTTAAACATACAATTGCAGGACCAATAGATGGCGAACTAGAGCCCTAATCTGAGGCTTCTGAAATCTAAATGAGCAGAATGAAAAACACCAAATAAGGCAAAGCCCTTTGCAGTGTATACTTAAATATTATGTTCAAAGACACCCACCACAAAAATAATCTTACTACTGCTTCAACCTTTAAAACTCAACTACCAGATTTAATTAGGCCCCCAAATAACCAAGGTTATGAAATACATTTTTTCAATGGATTAGGAAAAAGGTGGAAATACTCATTTCAAAACATGCATTTTAGGGAAAAATAAATTCCAACTTTCCCTTTCTCTCATTGCTTAGCTCAGGAGTTCACAATGCTTATGGCACTTACATAAGTCAATCTGTTTTACACTCAAATCAGATCTCTCTGCTTAGGCACCAAGTTTTACAAATAAGAACATTCAAAGGTGAGCCAGTAGACACAAAAATCTTAGGAAGAGAAATATGTTTTCTTAAAATTTCCCCCAGAAACACAGTGGATGTCAAGACATTAAAAACACACACACATACTACTCATTTTTCAAGTAACTGTTAGAACAGACATTGTAGTTGACTCTCCAGTATCTACTCTATCCTAATGGATTCATTTAAACCCATTCTCTTTGCCAATGATTGGTTGAGAATGGGCATGGAACCCAATCCTGGCCAATGAGACATGGGTAAAAGCCCACCAGATGATCTCCAAAAGAGAATTGTGAGAAAAGCTTCTTCAATCCTAAGGATGAGGAAGAAACACTCCCTCTTTCTCAGACAGTGCTTGCTAAACATAACACCTCAAACCACTAGTTACCTTATAGCAAGCCTGAAGATGCCACCATCAAAAGGTGGAAGACAGTTGGCAAAAACTTTGGTCTTTAGTGACAGTATTAAATCTTTATACCAAACAATCCTGATATCTGCAAGACTTCTGGACTTCCAGCTACAAGGAACAATGTAACAAACCAACATTTATTTTATATAACATTATTTATTCCTCAAAAAGGCCCTTCCTTCCTATATACAACTCTATACCCATCCATGTCTTTAGCTGTGTTCTTGCTGCAAAGAGGACCATCCCTCATTACCATCATTCCTTGTTCATTCCTCTCCCCCAATCCACCTCAAACTTATTTTTCCTTCAAGATATGTTCTACCACACAACCATTATCATTTACTCACTTAACAATAATGTAGGTAACTGATACTATTGGTATTCTGCTCTTGATAATATGCTCTCTGTAATTCCTATGAGGTTGTTTTCATAAATCATCTCCCTTCCTGAAGCTGATTGAGAACCTCTTAAAGGCAAGAACTATGGATATTCCAACTTCAGATTTATTACTCTCATCTATACAATAAACATATTCCAAAAAGGTACTCTAACTTACCCACAATATATCTTCTAACAAGCCAGAAAGAAATTCCTGAGCAGAATCCTATATAATAAAAGGCTAATATGCAAATCGACGGAACAGTGGAACAACAGGTCGCTATGATGTGCACTGACCACCAGGGGACAGACACTCAACGCAGGAGCTGCCCCCTGGTGGTCAGTGCGCTCCCACATGGCTGGCAAGCGCAGCGGTGGTGGCGGGAGCCTCCCCCACCCCCACAGCATTCAACATCCCCCAAGGGCTCCCAGACTGCAAGAGGGCACAGGCTGGGCTGAGGGAACCGCACCCCCAAGTGCATGAATTGCATGTACCGGGTCTCTAGTATTCTATAACATATTCAGTACTTCACACATCCAAACTAATCTTACAAGGACAAGGAATTATTTTGTTTTGCACTTTTTAAAAAAGCAATTATTATATAACTCAGGAGAAAGTCCTAAAGCATAAACCATTTAGTTTCAAAAGGACAGAAACCTGTTTTTGTTATTTACCATTGCATCCGGAGAACCTAGTCCGTAGCCTTGCAAAAAGAGGCACTTCATAAGAATTTGCTGAAAAAATGAAAACAGGTATAATATAGGAACCCACATATAGCCTTAGATTTTACTGTCCCTCCATCACTTATCAATTATTTAACCTATAAGCCTCAGTTTTTAGTCTGTAAAAAAGATATAATAGTGCCTACCTCATAAGTTTAGTTATTCTCATTATTATTAACAAATGAAGCTAGCCCTGGCTGGGTGGCTCGGTTGGAGCATCATCCCATACGCCAAAAGGTTGCAGGTTAGATTCTTGGTCAGGGCACATACCTAGGTTGCAGGTTCGATCCCCAGTCGGGGTGTGTACAGAAGGCAACTGACCCATGTTTCTCTCTCACATTGATGTTTCTCTCTCTAAAGAAGTTAACAGAAACATATCCTCAGGTGAGGACAGAGAAATAAATAAATAAGGAATGAATGAAGTTATTTTCCAAAGTTTAATAATTGAAAGACTAAAATAAAGGTCAGTACATCTTCTCTAATTCAAACTTCAAATCCCACTCTAGACTTCAGCTAACAATGTGTCCATGCATAAACTCAGATAATACTATACATAAAAATTATTTGAGTTAGCTAAAAACATTCCAATTCTGAAAAGAATTATTTACAATCATAACTCTAAAGCCACATTAAAATTTTTTTAAATGCATTTATTTTTTTATTTTATTTTTATTTTCTTTAAATATATTTTATTTAAAGGAAGGGAGAGGGATAGAGAGGTAGAAACATCAATGAGAGAGAAACATTGATCAGCTGCTTCCTGCATACGTCCTACTGGAGATGTGCCTGCAACCAAGGTACATGCCCTTGACCAGAATCGAACCCGGGACCTTT